AGGCATTTTTTTCCAAAAAAGTCCAGTTTCATCACAGTTGAATACCTGCTGAGAAACAAAGCCTTCCTCTTTAATAATATTCAAAAAAATGTCATGGTGTTCCTTAGCTGCTTCCTTATCTGCACTAGCAGCATCACCATATCTCACAACACTATGTATTTTATTTCTCCTTCTGAAACCAGTAAACCACCCCTTGGTACCCCTAAACACTGGCACATCACTATCACTTGCATTGGGAGTCTTGGCTTTAAGGTCCTCAAACAATTGTCTGGCCTTCTCACAAATTATAGCTTCACTAATGCTATCACCTGCCATTTCTTTCTCCTTTATCCACACTAAGAGTAAATTTTCCATCTCCTCAATCACATTACACTTTGCTTTGCTAAGTCTAGAGATTCCCTTAGCCACTTGCACTGTTTTCAACTCCTCTTTATTCTTCAAAATCGTACATATAGTCGATTTAGCCATCCAATACTCATCACTAAGTTTCGCAATGCTTGTTCCATCCTCACGTTTTTTTATGATTTCTTTCTTAGTTTCAAGAGTTATGAGCTTTCTCACTCGCTTTGGACAATTCATTGTCACAATTGTACACTTGTATAACAAAATATTTATACAAATAACTCTATTTCCACATCAAAAGACGAAATTTCAACAATAACAGTGGTGCACTGGCTACACAATGAGACAAAGATAGCGCCTGACGCTCTTGTTGTAGGTCGCGGTACAACAATATTCATGCGCCAGGCGAAATAGTCCCGTATTCATCCGCGTTCGTTGTAGGAGTTGCGTTCGTTATTGCATTCTCAATTTTATAGGTAAAACCGTTCGTTATAGAATATTCGTAGTAGGATCCGTTCGTTATAGCATACCCCACTGTATATAAATCAAATGTAATGAACCCATTTATATAATACTTCTGTTGATGAGACAGGGGCCATTACATAATAATAAAAATAAAAATAATAATAATAATAATAATATAATAATAATATAATAATAATAATAATAATAATAATAATAATAATATCGACAGCTCCTCCCCGACTTACGACCTGCCGCAGTCGTACCAAAATTTTGTCAAATTATGTATTTTCAAGTCCCAACGTCAGTACAGACAAAATTTTTGTTTGTAATTCACCTTAAAATGGCTGGCAAGCTTAAAAGTGAGAGTTTTGTGGAGCTGAGAAGAAAAAGAGACACCCATTTTAGATTTTCTATGTATTATTTAAGCATTTTCGACTTACGACCTGAATTTGGATCCCTAACCCCGTCGTAAGTCAGGGAGGAGCTGTATTATTATTATTACAACAATTAATAAAATTAATAGCAAATTAATAAAAATAAAGATAATAACCATAAATAAAAAAAAAATAAAAAAAATAAATCAAGAGTGAGAAATGATATACATGTTGTGTTGTCCAAGTAAGAGAAACAATTGAGACCCTGCAATTGTTTTTAAATGAGGCAGAAAATCAGGTCAGCAACCTGGGACTTGGTCACAATTTTCGTAATGCCATCTGGCAGCAGGGTCTACCATTAGACAACACATTATGCTTCCAATATCTTCCCAGGCGGTAGTACCTCCCTGTTTGGTAGCTGCTTACTACCTACTTTACTACCTGCCTGATAACAATTAATGGGATAAATTTTGTTTTAGGATTAAAGTTTTCTCTTATAAAATGTCAGACTTCATTTAAGAGAATATAACTTGCATTGCTGGAATCCTTGCAAGATGGCAATTAACTTTAGTATAAACATCTCATAATTTGCATGAGATAACAATTTCAGTCCTTTAGAATAGCATATTTAGTACAAAATGAAAATAATAATATGCTGCTCAAAATTATGGCTTATCCACAGGGAAAACTGGTCAGGATATTATGGTATCAAATGTTATGGAGTATTTCAAATAAATTCTTCTACCAGTATCCTTCACTTACAGTAAAATAATAATTTTTACCTTCTAATTCAGCTTAAGGATATACAGTATTAGAAACATCTCATAGAAGATTATTATGGTATCAAATTCATCTCTTTAACACAAATACAGTAAAGATTATAACATTTGTTGTGAACTAAGCAGGAAGAGGGAGTTGGGTCCATTGGGGGGTAAAAGTGACAGTGCCACCCCCTCCCCCAAAGGGTTGCCTCACTATTTGTCTACTGTACTGACTTGTTCATGATACAATATTGTTTATTTGTTGTTCATTAATTAGTAAAGATATGTTACTGTAATAACCTGTGCTTATTAATACCTGTACCCTTCACATACAAAACAGTGGGTCAAAAGACCCACTAATCCCCTATCCAACAATGGGTGATCTGACATTGCATCAGGTCAGGTTAGTAACATGACCCAATAATCTCCCACCCAACCTTCATCACAAGTGTCAAGATATGATTAGTTACGTATTACAGTCAACTGAGTGAAATGTCTTCCTATTCTAGGTTAAAGATGACAGGATCTGCTGGAGTACAATATATACAGTACACAAGAACACTTGCCAACAGTGTTTAACAGGGATGTGACCGATTGCCCATGCGACTAATGAGCCGATCAGTGGCGAAGAGGATTAAAGTAACACAGCTTTATTCATGCCCATATCATACAGAGCTTTTGTTTTTTTAAATATATTTATTTTACCCAAATTTTAGATGCAGTATTCAGGATTATTTTGAGAGAAAAAAAAAGGGTGTCTAACAAAATTATAACTGATTTTACTGACTCCGGTATAAACATTGACTGTTTATTTTTGTTATAAAAGAATGGAATTATCATCACTAAATCATACAGAAATATTTCGTTTAAGGATATCTTATTGGAAACGTTTCGTTTAGAATTTATTAAGGATCAATATGGTATCAAATTTTTCTCCCTATCACAATTAACCAAGCTTGAGTGTGGCAGCAGTGGGGGTGGGGGCTGATCACGCGACCCTATCCCCCAAAAAGGTCCACTTCCGTCAACACACACACCAACACATCACATACACCCCTGCATCACACACAAACACACCCTCCAACAACCACCCACACACACATTCCAATACCACTCAAACATCCCCAGCAAGCATAAGGAGTGAAGGTCTTATTGTATTGCATGGTAGCGAGTTAAATATCAGCAGTTGAGGAGCGCTTGGCAACACTCATTTCCACTCCATCTCTCTTATCACCCACACCTTTCTGCTTTCTCACTCCATATTTTAAAAAGTTATATAACATAATGCTGAATGGGTACAACTTTGCTCATTTATACTTCCCCTCACAGCTCCATGTGAGTGGAAAATAACAGTTTTTGCTGTAACACACAGCTTCATGCATGCCTATATTGTACAGATTTTTAATTTTCAAAAATCTATTTAATCAAACTTTTAGATAAACTATTCTGGATTATTATAGTAAAGGAATGTAGTTTCTAACTTAATTAGAACTGTATTTACAGACCCAGTAGTTTAGACTCAAGGAAAACATCTCTAGCACCCAGAAACGTTCTGGGGAAGTGAGCTAGTGTGCATCTATGCAAGAGTTCTAGTTTATACACTTGGAAACTTTTCCCAGTAATCGGAAAAGGTTCCGAGGATAAAGAATTTTTCCGGGTTTGAGAAAGTCATCTTGTTACTCAGAAATCTCTCATCCTCAGAAGTGCTCTGCACCAATTGTTCTGGCGAATGGGGATATCACTGCACAGTGGTCCCTCGGTTAACGAACACAATTTGTTCCACAGAGTCGTTCATTAGCCGAATCCATTGTTTCAATGGGATATTGGGTAATTGGTTCCACCTCACAGAAAAGTACATACCAAGTAAAAGAAAAGAAAAAAATGCAGTAAAGTACACTTACTTTGAGGTGTCTATGTAGAAGGTTCCTGATTGATGATGATGATGATGGAAATTAGAAGTGGGGGTGGAGAAGGGAGAAGAGAAGGAAGTGGGGATGGAAAAAAAATCACCTTTCAGGGGACCCATGCTTGATGCAGTAATTGCACCAATACAATTTTAAGTTCACTACGTGTAATTTAAGATTATTTTATTTAAATCAACACTGCACTGCACTGCGCTACATATTATCAATATGTTAACTAAATTTCAGAATGACCAATAATTTTAAAGTAAAAATGCAAAAATATTCAAGACACCAACAAAATTGATATTCACTCCACTGTAAACAAAGCCAAACTGACGCCTGGTGGGTGAGTCAAGCGGCTGATGGGCGAACAAAAAACTAGTTCCCTGTACTGCACATATTAACAATGTTAAATAAATTTTAAAATGACTAATAATTTTAATATAAAAAATGCAAAAATATTAAAAGAGCACAACTTTCTAGATATTTTCTCCACTGGAAACGAATGTAAACATAGAACAGATTACTGAATTGGCAGACTAGCCCATCAGCTGATGCTCACAACAAAACGTCTTTGTCATAAGGATTTCGTTAATCGAAGTTTTGTTCGTTAACCAAATTGAAGATCCTTACAGGAGGTAATTCGTTAGCCGAAATTTTGTTAATCGAACCGTTCGTTAACCGAGGGACCACTGCATATGATTTCTATTTTGGTAATTTAAATGTCCAAAGCACTTATTAATTTTTATTTAACCATCAATAGGAGTTGGACAAGATCATTAGAATATTCTTAGCTCTTCACCCCCTCCTCCCCAAATTAGAGGAGTGGATAAGATCTCAACCTTTCAAAGGTGGGGAATATTCAATATATTTTCTTATAAGACGCAGAATCATATGAATGATTGGGAGAGAGAGAAAGAAGAGAAGACAACTTTTTGTATCACATTTCCTGCGATAATGCATTTCTTACTTCCATCACCTTCTTGGTGTTCCTCTCCTTTCTATCTTCCACATCCCCCCTCCCCCTAAGCCTCACTTTCTTCATGTGCATAATTTTATTTTGTTATGAGCACATAGATTGACCAAAAACATTTCTCTGCATTTCTGTTCTCAAGTATTAAGAATTCAAGAACAGGTATCATTAATCAACACACCTCACCTGGTCTGCAGAGGAGTCCGTGACAACAAGGAGCGTCGACGTTTGTTACCAGAGGGCAAACCACCCAGGAGACTACCACCAGTTTCAGGGGTTGGCTGCTGCATTCCTGTATATATATTCTCATCGGTCACATTGATGAAAGTGCTCCAGTAGTCTGATGAAATTTCCAACAGCTTCTCCATGACCTGTAACAGAAGCTCATTTAATGCTGCAGAAGTGAAGCCCCCCTTCTACTCTGTAAATCTACAAAACAAATAAGTGATGAAAAGACAAACTAAAATAAAAATTTTATTCACCTTTAAAATAATCTAATTCACTTTATCAAAAATTTGAACAGACTATCCTTCCCTTAAGACCAAATTCTAAAAATGAGAAATGTTAAGTGATTCACTTTTGTTGATCAGCAATAAGATGAACTCCCAAGGTATCAAGCTAACCTGACCAACTTAACAGGGAAGAAAACTGGAGAGAAGAGTTGATTGATCCCAATTTGGTAATCAAAAGGTATTTCATTAATGTTCTATAAATATCCACTTTATTGCCAGAAACTTACTTTGTTTTACATTAAAAGACATGGTTCACTTCCACACAATAATGTAGGCTCAGTAATTTCCAAAATATTTTATCTTAACCTCCTTCAACAAAGTTCTTGCCCTCCATATATTTGTTTTCCTTCAGGTATCAGATAACCAAAACAACTCACTTCTCCCATCCTGTTTCCATTCAGGCTAACACTAATTTCTGTGTCTCTTTACATATAATCACCACTTAACCAGTTAAGCAACCTGTTGTGAACAACATACGTCCAGTATATAGGCAAAATATCTTAATTCACCTATCATTTCCAGAGCTTCCACTACTGAAACAAATAGTATAGCAAGTCCTCGTATAACGTTGCCCCACTTAACGTTGTTTCGGTACAACGTCGCTACTCTTTAGATACCAATAATTCGATTAACGTCCCGACGACTCACTAAAACGTTGTTTATGTCGTCACAGTTTTCCCATAAGAATGCATGTAAATGGTACAGGTTAAGGAAATTGACTTGGCAGAACCCTTGTAAGATTGTGATTAATTTGAATATAAACATGCTGAGTTTGCACTAGACAAAAAATTTTTAGTAATCATTTAGAACATTTGAGCACAGTATAGGTTTGCCCTTTGGACAATTATTTCTTTTACCTTTTTCACAATATGTATTTAGGTTGGTGTGTGCATGTAAATCAGTAAAAATAAATGAAGAAAGTTACCATATCTACTGAAAAATAATTTTAAAAACATGTACTGTAAAGTACTTAAAAGTACCAAAGGACTAAAATTTTATCTCTTGTGCAAAATATATGATGTCTATATTCAAATTATTAGCTGTCTTGCAAGGGTTCCATCAATGTAATTTATGTTCTCCTAACTTTAGTCTGTGACATTTTATAAGATAAAAACTTTAAGCTTAAAACAACCTTCAACCTTGCTGCGAGAAGGATGGGGGTGTTAGTTGATGTGTTGTGACAGCTGGCGCCAGAGTGCCACCAAGGTTACCTAGTGGTATTTATTTATTTGTCATATGGGGGGAGTTTACGTTTTTCTCTTATAAAATGTCACTTAATTGACTAAGAGAATATAATTTACATTGCTGGAATTATTGTAAGATAGTGATTAATTAGAATATAAACATGCTATACAGTAAGTCTTCGCCTAACGTCGGGGTTACGTTCCCCAAAACACGACGTTATACGAAACAAAGTCAAGTGGACCAATTTTCCTAATAAGAAATAAATAAATGTGGGAATTACATTCCCGAGCCTCCCTTTGCCCCATTAAATACATTATATATAAATAAATTCAAAACTCCTTGTGTGATGCCTGGTGAGGAGCTTGTATGCATTACTATAAAGTCACATTCATTGAAATTTTGTAAGAGAAAAACTCCAAACTCCTCTACATGACATAAATAAATACCACTAGGTAACCTTGGTTATTTTGACAGCAGCAGGGAAGGTTTGAGAAGGTTACCTAGTGTGTATTTATCAGTCATATGGCAACCTGTGGTCAGCATACTTGCCTCACAAGCGAGAGGACCTGTGTTCGATCCTCGGGCAGGGTGAAGCCATGGGCAAGTTTTTTTACGCCACTTGCCTCTGTCTACCCAGCAGTAATTGGGGACTTGGATGTTAATTGATTTGAGGATCGTGTTCAGGAGTATTGATTAGCCAGTGCAATTGGCGAGTTGTCGGGTCTTCTCGGACTATTCCTTGACACCGAGTCATGCAACTCGTTAACTTAGGGTGTGGTTGTTGTGTTGGCGACAGCTTCTACACCTTAAACAAATTCACGCCTAGGTGGCCCTTGGGCTGGCCATAATCGTTACATGAGGGGCAACCATTATATACATTATATCAGTCGTACAGAGGAAGTTTTAATTTTTTGCTTATAAAATCTAAATGAATGTGACTTTATAGTAATGCATGCAAGCACCTCGCCAGGCATCACATGGAGCTTTGAATTTATGTAAATGTAATGTATTTTATGGGGCAAAGGGAGGGTGGAGAACTTAACTCCCATATTTTATCGATTTCTTATGGAGAAAATTGATTCGCTTAACGTTGTTTCTTATAATGTCGCGTTTTCAGGAACGTAACCACGACGTTAAGCGAGGACTTACTTTATTACAATTGTTCCTTCATTTTAAGATACTACACTCTTACCAGCAACCTTCTGGGCATTCCCTTCCTTTGGAGGATGGCAAAAAATTAGATTTCCCCATCTATGAAAAAAAAAAGTATTACCTAAGACTGATACCATAATAAATATTATTATCTTACCAACTGCTGCTGACGTGTCTCCAATACCATGGTGGACGGATCTGGCTCAGCAACAGAATATCCAACAAGAGTTGGCCCAAATACTTTAGCTAAATTGGAGACTGGCATTTTGCAGTCAGGGCACTCAGCAACTCTGCAGAAGAATATATATATGGCAAATTTACCACATTTACACCATTACAGTTCTCTGAAAAATTTTGACACTCCCCCAACCCCCCCATATAACGGGGCGAGAAAATTATAAAAAAATAATAATAATAAAAAATCACCATATTAATCTACACCACGAAGATGCTGGAAAATCAGCTTTTTGAAGTGAGACAGATTGTAAGAGCATGGAAACACATTAGGCAGAGTATTCCACAGTTTGGCTGTGTGAGGAAAGAAGGATGTATACAGGGTACTATAAAGGGTTTTCTAGTGACTGACATCCACACAGAAACGGTAGGCAAAACAAATGTTCTCAGCCCACTGCCTGGCTGGCGGTACACATGATGCTAAATCCAATGAACAAAGTCCATTAAAGTACCAGTAAAAGAGAGAAAGTGAAGCAACACTGCAGCAAAAAGAAAGGGAAGAGAGATGATCAACCAAAGGAGAGGAGTCAATAAAACGAAATGCCTTTGATTTCACCCTATCGAATAGTTGGACAGAAGAACCACCCCAGATAAGAGAGCAGTACTGTACTCCAAGTTAGGGCAAATGAATCTTTTATAAACTTGAAGTAACTGCTCAGAAGTGGCATCTGTACAGCATTCCCAGTTTTCAGGAGGCAGAAAGATTATGCCCTGAAAGTGATTGGTGGGAAATCTTCTATTTTGGAAAGTGTAATTGGTAAATACTGTGTTTTATTAGTATTGAATTTAACCATGTTTCTACTTCCCTTTTTGGAGATGCTACACAGATCCACATTGATAGATGAAATGATATCAGCTCTAGAAATAAATCTAGTTTGATTATTAGGGGGAAGGGAAAAATGTGAAGAAGAGTGAAGAGTATAATCATCAGTGTAAGAATGGATAGAATTAGTCGTAGTGTGAAGTATATCATTGATAAAAGAAGGAAGAGAGCAGGTGAAAGAACAGAACCCAGTGGGACACCACTATTGGTAGAGAAAGAGGGAGAGTTTGATCCCTTGACAACAATTGCCATGGATAGTGGTGGGAGAAAAACTATAAGAGGGAAGATAAGAAAGCAAAGACTTGTGCCATACCCTGTCAAATGCTTTGGAGATGTCAAAGACCACGACAAAAGTTTCCCCATAATCCCTAAGAGAGGATGACCAATGATGGGTGCAGTAGTAGAGCAGATACTGGTGATTTGACAAAAGAGAAAGGCATTCAAGATGATGGAGAAAATGAGAGTTTAAGAGTTTCAAAAATTTTAGAGAAGAACGAAGTTTGGGTAATTGGGCAATAGTTAGAGGGATTGGAATGGTCACCCTTCTTCAGGATGGGCTGAACTGAGGCATGCTTCCAAGAAAAAGGAAAAGTTGGGGTTATGAGGTAAAGGCAAAAGTGGCGAGCAACCACAGGTGTCAGAATTTCAGCACACTCCCTCAGAACACAAAGGGGTATTCCGTCCAGTCAATGCGCCTTACTCACATCCAACCTGGATAACACACCAGCAACCCTACAAGTGGAAGTTACAGGAAAGTGCATAAGTTCAGTAGGAGGAACAGGAGTAGGAGAGGTGAAGTTGGAATTGTCTAAGGTGGAATTAGAGGAGAATAAGGTGCCAAAGAGATTGACTTTATCAGGGGGAGAGTTGGCTATAGAGTTATCAGGTCGGAAGAGAGGAGGAAAAGAAGGAGTGCAGAAGTTATTACAGATGTTTTTGGTTAAGAACCAGACGGATTTACTAGAAGATTTAGTTAGGTCAGCAGTCTTTCTTTTTATAAAGTTCCACTTGGCCCTCCAAAGAATAACCTTAAACGATTCATAGAACTAATGAAAGAGGAGTAGGTAACAGGAGGAGATAGTTTCCTAACTTGATACACGGTACCTCTCTCCCTCAATGCAAGAGAACAGGAGCGATCAAACCATGATTGTAAAGTGAAAGTTTTGGTAGAAGATGGGATAAATGCACTCATACCACCGAGTATAACCCCAGCAATGCTGTCAGCACATACTGAAGCGTCCCTGAGTACAAAAGCAACATTTATCCCACGGAAAGTCGGAAGAATTCTTGCAAGGATTGCCAGTTTGCCCTCCAATAGTGCCATAGTTGGCATTTAGAAGGGGGTGTGAGAGGTGGTCGTGCCCAGTTTGATTTAATAGAAATAAGATTGTGATCAGAAGACCCTGAGGGGGCAAAAATTGAGTATGAATAGTGTGAGGGAGTAGAGGTAAAATAAAGATCAAGAATGTTAGCAAGTTGATCGTGTCGATCAGGAATGCGTGTAGGGCGTTTTATTATTTGTTCCAGATCATTAAGTAAGGAAAAAGAGAGTGTCTCAGCTCCACCTGGATCATCCCTTGCAGAGCCAAGCCACTCTCTGAGGTGCACATTGAAATCCCCTAGGTAGAGGATCTCAGTGTTGGGGGGTGTGGATAGCAACGACTCGTGGCAAGAAATGGGATAGTCAAAGAGTTCCAAATAGTTGGTAGAGTTGGGAGAACAGTATAGGAAACAAAGAAAAACAGTCACAATTGGCAGAGATATTTTGAGCCAGATGACATCATAATGAGAAGATTCAAGATCCGTGAGTCGAGCTACAGTATAGGTGTACATGTTTTGCAGTAGGCACGTACACCTCCCTTAGAATGGAAAGAGGTATAAAGGTTGTAGTTGGAGACTTGAAAAGGTTTGGGCAAAGCTGCTTTGGTCAGTTGAAGTTCAGATAGTAGTAAGAGGTCGAGGGAAGAGGTAAATAGATGGTGCTACAAAAAAAAAAAAAAATGTATATCAGGCCGCGAATGTTGGAAAAATGAAGTGTGAAAAATGCCAATCCTCCAGCAACCGTGGTGACGTCAGTTGAGGCCCCAGTAGTTTGATGATGATAAGGTCGACCCTGGGGTCCACAACCTTCCCGACCGGTGGGACCGATCAGAGAAGGCCCCGCTTAAATATTATTATCAACTGATATCATAGAATAAAACAGATCAAGAGTGAGATAAGTTGTATATGTTGTGATGTTAAAGTAAGAGAAACAATTAACACCCTGCAACTGTGTAAATGAGGCAGAAAGTCAGATCAGTAACCTGGTACTTGGTCACAATTTTTGTGATGCCATATGGCAGCCAGGTTTTTCCATTTGACAACACATTATGCTTCCAATATCTTCTCAGGCAGTAGTACCTCCCTGTTTGATAGCTGCCTACAAACATTCAAATGCTGAGCAGCTTGTTACAGCAAACCTCAGGGGCTATCTTGAACACACCAAGGAGAGGATGTGTCAGTCATATCTTTCTATGCTAGGATAGCCATCATGCACCCTACACCAATAATAAATATGACATGGTTTGAGACTACAGCAGTCTTTTTTTAATACCAAATAGCTAATTTTTTCATACAGAAAAACTTCTAGGGAAATTATATTTATGATTTTTTATTTTGGCATTCAGGAATTAAAATCTGAAATAGCAATGAAAAATCTCTAAACAAGAAAGATAAATATATTCTGCTCCAGCACACATTACATTTGGAAATATTCTTGCATGTGTTAAATACTATTGTGTGTATATAAAGTACAGTAGAGTATTTTCTAGCTTTAACAAATTAATTCGAGCCACCCACTTCCGTTAAATAGAAATTTCCGCTAAACCAACTGAGTTATTTTCGCTTGACTTATCAAACTATTTCACTAAATCAAGCATTATTTCGTTAAATTCTGCACCAAATGCGCCACACGTCAAATTTGTTTACATCCACTCAGTCTGTGTCCTGCTGCCACTGAGTGTGTTGTTCACTGCTACCTCTCGATCAATTAACTACAGCTCCTCCCCGACTTACGACCTACTTGACTTACGACCACACGTACATACGACCGCCTCCGTCGTACCAAAATTTTGTCAAATTACGTATTTTCGAGTCCCAACGTCAGTGATTGCGCTGTGTACTGACAAATTTTTTTTTTGTAATTCGCTTACAAATGGCTGGCAAGCTTAAAAGTGAGAGTTTTGTGGTGCTGAGAAGAAAAAGAGACACTTTTAGATTTTCTATGTACTGTATTATTTAAGCATTTTCGACTTACGACCATTTCGACCTACGACCTGGATTTGGGTCCCTAACCCCGTCGTAAGTCGGGGAGGAGCTGTACACTGGAGCATCTTAGCTTTCGTCTTTATTCAAGACATCATCAGAAGCAACTGAATTGAAAGGGACTGAGAGAGGCTTATATAACATCAGGCCAGGTCAATAACATGGGATCCACTAATCCATACACCACCTCCACTTGGAAAAAAAAAAATATATATATATATATATATATATACAGTTAACCCTCACTTTATGCGGTCCCACATTCCGCGTTTACGCGGTGCCTTGCCAGAACCTAACGTGCTCACATTACGCGGTACGTGAACCCCATTACGCGGAGAGTGTCCGGCGCGACGCTATTTTTAGATTCGCCCCACCCACCTGCCTGCCTGTGCTCTTCGCCTCTCCGTCCTCCTCCCTCCGCTTGGGCAAGCCGCGCGGTAAGGTTGCGCAGTGTGTGTCTTTGTTGCGTTATCACTGACGTCATATGACGTATCGGACTGTGATTGGCCATGCATCCCTACCCCCCTCTGCTGCTAGCTGTAATTGGCTTAAAGTATTATGACGTGTCCACCCGGGGGAGGGAGGGAGGGAGGGAGGGAGGAAAGACCATCCTTGACCTAGCCGCGCCAGTTTCATCCCTCCACGCCAGACCGTGTAAACGTGCATCCATTGTTCTCTAAAATGGCTTCCGCCAGACCACCACCCCCAGAGAGAAACCTTTCCTTACCTGGACCCAGCGGCACTAAGCCAAAGAAGACACGACGTTCCTTAAGCTACGAGGTGAAGTATACCATCATCCAAGAGTTGGAGAAAGGAACAAGGCAGGTTGATTTGGCGCGCCAGCATTGTGTGAATGAATCTACGATTCGAACAATAAAGAAGGATGCAGCCAAGATAAAGGAGCACATGAAGATCACAAAGTCTACAGGT